AAAACAATAATCCTGCACAAGTTCTTTTACTTGATTCCGCAAATCGTTTACAATTGGGACAACTATTTGATAATTTCTTCCTTTCTTGTTGATTGAAAACATCTTCCCTTTGAGCAGTGCCGAAAAGGATAACTTCACATTTGGGTGGGAAAACTTCAAAGTTTAACACCTGAAACTCAGAAGTTTGACGTCACGTGAAAACATCTTTAGCGCGCGTGCGTTCACGGGTAGATGCAATCGACGGTATGAATATAGTAAAACACTAAAAGGATAAAACATTGTTTAAACCTGTTTAAAAGAATGTTTTTGATAATAAATAATAGAAATAATGACTTTCTTCTCATGTCATATATTTAGCTTAACAGTTAGCTAATTGGGGACACTTTCCAACGTCCTGGCACACTAATCTATCACAAGACTTTTAAATTAATGATCTTAACTATAACCTAAAACTATATACAAATGTCCACGACTCAAAAATGACATAGGTCACAGCAGTAACTATTGTTATCTATGTGGCACGAAAGGTCAACACCGCGTATATCTTTTGTGAATGCTTTGAGGCTTGTCATGTTTCTGAGCTCACTACTGACCTTTGACTAAATTGAAAGGTCCTTGGTAACGCAGCAAATGCCTCCCATAGGCCACTGTATCAAAGCGGGGTAGTTCAAAATCACAGTTTCTTAGGCGTTGGTGAGTACTGATCGTAAATAATGCAGATACACACCTTGGCGCCATCCTGCCTTTTACTTTATACATTAGTATTGCAATGTCTTGCCAACGCCTGTTATAAAGGGTAGGCAGCTTGGCGCGAGTGAGGGGGTCCTCGTACGTTTCAGTTTGATTGTTTTTTTATTTTTCTGCTGCTCTTGCTACTCATGCTACTCATAGGCCTTTGGTGGGGATTTTATTACGTCTAGTTTAAAGACTCTGCTTCAGGATTGTGTTTTATTGTTTACATATATGAATCTTGAGGGGCCATGAATTGGGAACCTATCGCGCTTTGGCAGCTTTATTATGTTACTGTTTACTCTTAGCTCAATAGTATCTTTTGATTTAAACTTCTGTATGTTGCGTAACGTTCATTCAGTAGTATATTTAGTTTTAATTCTATGCCGTGTATTTGGTATTTTAATTCGCTACGTACCCTTTGTTCACTATTTAAGCAACAGAATAGTTTTTTCGTGTGTTTGCATAGCCTGATATAAACACTCTAGTGGATGGGAGAATTCGAGACAGTTATGCAAACCCTTGACTTCGTCTCCGCTTTGCATAACTGTCTCAAATTCTCCCAAACCCTAGAGTGTTTATATCAGGCTATGCAAACACACGAAAAAACTATTCTATTGCTTTTATAAATTAATTTAACGTCTGGCAAACCAGTCAGCAAAACCTACAGACCTAAAAATGATAATTTTTGCCTTTTCATGATGTTACGTTTTCCTGTCTGATATCTTATTATTGTTGTTGTAAGGAGATCGAGAAAAGCTGATAAATGGAAACAGTAATCAATTGGCAGATTCCTACGAGGATCAATGCAAAGAGAGGAGCAGATTCCTACTAGTCGGGAAAAGCTGATTAGCGGAAACAGTAATCAATAAGCAGATTCCTAAGGGACCGATGGAAAGAGGAGCAGGTTCCTACTAGTAGGAAATGCTGATAAGCGGAAACAGTAATCAGTTGGAAGATTCCTACGGGAATTGATGGAAAGAGTCGCAGATTCCTACTAGTCAAGTGAAAAATCCACCAAAATAATCTTCCAAGGGGGGGGGGGGTCAGATAATAAATGGAATGTCCCGATCCGTCATGAAGAAAACAAGGTTGAATCCTCGAAGGACGATTTCTTGATGAAAAGCTTCCCCCTTCCTCCACAAAAAGAAAGCTGAGTATTCTTTTGAACTTTCTCTTTCCATTTTTTTTCTTTTAACGGTGTATTTTTAAGCCTGAAATGCAGAACTCTTGTCCTAAAACATCTGCATGGTGATCGTGCGGCAGCCATTGTGTTGAAAATGGATATCTGTCACTAAGGTTTCCAAATATGGTAAAAGTGAATATTCAGGAGCATTGAATGCGAGTTACACGTTTCAACCCGTTATGGGTTTCTGTACAAACTTTTTCCATGAATGAACACAAAATTTTTCATACAGGCTCAATGAAAAAGCTTGTGGTTGAAGTAACAATTTATGAAAAGTGACCAAAAGTGCAACTGCAAGTAATGCCTGTTTATGCCTCGATCGCTCAGCGATCAGTTCTCATTCACCCTTGCAATCTTCGACTGATCACCACAGAAAACGTTGAAGTTAAATGTGTAGCCTTCAAACTTGTCAATATGTGCTCTGGCAAAAATTGCCTGAGGCTGGATTTGTTGGACTGTGAAGACATTTTGCTGTGTTGTTGTGGAGGTACTGACTTGGTTTTCTTCTGACTGATAAGATGTACCTGGCTCATGATTCAGGATAGCGGACATTTCTCACTGTTGCTTCAGAGATGCTGAATGGTA